GACTATATGGTATGGTCTTTCTCAGTTCTCAAACAAATTAAGAACTATTCGATTTTTATTGACTGAACGCAAGCGCTTATTCCGATAGAAAAGACTGTATCGGTTTCCACTGATTAAGAAATATTTTTGTTTGCTTGGGTGGTAATATTAGGTCTATTATATTAATAGGGAAGGGGGCCCAAAAATGTGTTTTCTACGTCACGAAAATAGGTAAATCCGGACCTGCCATCTAATGTGTGTTTTGGCCATGTAATGTTGCTGAAATTAAATATGTTATTACCTCTGAGTCAGAGCAGCGATCATGGAAGACAGAACACAAGCAGACAGCACTGTAAGCTGCTAATGCTCATCAGTAAATCAGTGGAAAATAAATAGAAATCATGATTCTGTCTGAGCTATGCGTTTTAAAACGAACACTAACTAGTGTAAATGTAGCCTAACAGATGTGTAAACTGAAGACTATTTGAGCTTTATTAAAACTATTTTGCACTGATTTATTGTGTTGGTTACATTTTGTTCCTTTGTGCAGTGGCTCAGGAGATGAGTCTTTGAGTTTGTATAAACATCAACAAGCTGAAAAATAAAACCAAAGTTTTTTTTTAGATAATGTAATCTTGTTAAAATTGATTTCATAAAATTGGTATCGAAAAAAGTATCGTTCAGGAACCGGTATCGAAGTCAAGGTATCGGTATCGATATCGAAAAATTTTGAACGATACCCAGCCCTACTAACCAATATCACATTCTCACAACCATGCATTGTTAGATTATATAAATAAGTTACCAGCCATCTGGCAAGTGACACTCTTTTCATATACTTGCCAAAGCCGTGTTAATTTTGGACCCTAGCCAAGATGCTAAGGGTGTCCTGCACACGGCTGCTAGATGCTATGCTGCTAGCTTGTGCAGTGCTGTCAGAAGCTATCTTTGAAAATGCAGCAGTTTTAGTAATTGTTTCCAGACGTTTCAATCTTAGTGCAATCCATATCTACAGACATCTGTATAAATATGAAAAAATGCCTGCAAATGTTGTTTTTGCTCTAGTTCTGGAATGCCATTGAGAGCAGAAGCAACTTTTTTTTTTTGCCATTTATTGTGGTAGCATTTTGTTAATTATTTTATGTAAAAACATTTACCTCAGTATCTCCAGCTGACAGTTTGGACTCTTCAGTCCATCAGAAAGAAGCTTCACTCCAGAATCCTGCAGGTCATTGTTACTCAGGTCCAGCTGTCTCAGGACAGAGTTTGATGATTGTAAAACTGATGACAAACTCTCACAAGACTGAGCAGTGAGATTACAGATGGAAAATCTGAACAAGAAGGACAAAATAACTGCATACAGAATATATCTTAACAGTGTGTTTTTTAAATAATTAACTTGCAAAATAATTAATCAAGTATTTGAAACTCAAACCTCATTATCTCCAGCTTAGAGTTTGGACTCTTCAGACCTTCAGAAAGCAGCTTCACTCCTGAATCCTGCAGGTCATTGTAACTCAGGTCCAGCACATTTAGATGGGAATTTGAGGATTGTAGAGCTGAAGACAAACTCCCACAAGACTGAGCTGTGAGATTACATCCACATAGCCTGTGTAAACAAAACAAACTGCTATATTAATGTGAATTTATGAGTTTATATAGTTTATAATCTGCAGTGCATGTTTGTGGTAAATACAGTGTAATTAGACTTTATTGGTAACACTTTATAATAATTATACAATAACAATAACACATAACTTCATTAGTAGTTTATAAACTATAGTTAATACATTAATAGACTATATAAAAATAGTGAGTTAATTAATTCATTATCACTGTAATTAACAAGTGTTGCTGTTTAATTAGCTCATATGTAAAGAATTATATAATGGTTTATTAACAACATATTGACCATAAATAGTACTCACTTTACCAACATTTATTGGACATTAATTGCATTCCTTTTCAGTTTTTATACTGAACAGACTATTCTGTACCCTAACTCTACCTCTAATCTGAACTGATATATTTTAACAATGTGATCTAATGAGTATTTGTATATATTTCATATTGTCAGCATTATGACATTTCATTTTTTAAGTGGTTGTGTTTAGGTTTGGGGATAGGCTTCATGTATTTTAAGCAACTTAAATCATTTACAAACTGTTAATTTACAGTTAATTATTAGTCTTTAAATTATCAGGAGAAGAAATGAGAGCTTATATGCTTATTTTATCATATGTGTGTGTACTGTGTTGTACAGCATTCTGTACAATACTTTTGTGTACAATACTTTTTTTTTTTCATACACCAGTTCAAGTGCTGGCGTGATGTAAACAGTTTCTTAAGCAGTTCAAAAAAGGATGGACCTTGTCTGCTGCTTTTAATGTGGGTCTGGATCGCAACACTGTGGTGCACAATACACCAAGAGCTTGGGGTAACACTTTCTATGAAACCTGTATTTATAATACATTATAAGGGTATTCTTAAGGCATTATAATGAATGCATTATAAAAAACCTTATAATATGTTGTATCATCTCATAAATAATCATAACAACAATTATAATACATTGTAATAATATTAAACCCACTTAATTTATAATGGATTATCTCATATCGTGACATTATTTATTTAAGATGGGCATAGTATCTTACTACATCTTGTGAGAGGTTAGGAGTGGTTCAGTGTTTTTGAGTGTTTCCTAAGAGAGGTTAATGTTGATTTTGCTGTGAGCTAGTTTAAGCTCCGTTGTAATACTTTCAAATGAAAATAATGCAATAGTTTTTCTTTTTATATTATATTACATTTTATTTTGATGGTCCCCTTAGTCTGTTGACTAAAAGTAACTTTGCAACTACATGCCAACTAACTCTCATTTAGAGTATTAGTAGACTTAGTTAAGGTTAGGGTTGGTAGAATAAGTTGACGCACTTGCAAAGTAGAGCCCTGCACGGGCCTCAAATATAGGCCCTAGCCCGGGTCCGACAGCTCATCAGAATTCTTGGCCCGAGTCCGACATGAGCCCGACCCAAACGCGACTTTTTTTCCCCTTCTCCCAAAACAGCTTATACTACTGTTTCAGCTATTAAAATAGTTCAGTTTTGTATGTAATGTCAAAGTGATTATATTTCGTTTCGCTTTTTTATTAAGTTAATGTAGAAAAACGTTTGGAGGATTTTTTTGTTCGTTAAATGTAAGTTTTTTTTTTTTTTTTTAAGTAACGACAAAGCGGCCAGCGGCAGACAGTGAGCTGATCATAGCCTATGTTTGATCAATTTAGCCTTCTCAAATAATCACGACTAAAATAAAATCTATAGATATAAAACAGTTCAAGCATATTACAATGTTATTTGAAATGTTTTACAATAAATACGCGCTATTAGACGCATATCTAATCGTTTGTGCGGAGAGCTAAAGTGCGCTTTACAGGACATGGAGGCGCCGGTGCGATCAGTTGCATTGGAAACAACTTAAAATATGACGTAATTATTGATCATAAAGGTAAGAGTAATACATCACTCGGAACTGTAAAGGGTCTACTTTTATTTGTGTGCACACTCACAATATCAACAAAGCGTTGTGCTTTTATAAAATAAAGGATACATACAGGATGTGCTTTCTGCAATTTCGGCCAGGAGCACTTCACAATGATGAACCGTAACTCAGCGAATACTTGCCTCAAAAACTTGTTAAATATATCTATAGAAAGCTTTAAATTACTACTTTAAAACTAAATAATTTGAATTCGGATTTTATACAATCCGTAAAGATGCATTTCTCAGGATCAGGAACGTCGTCTTCATCTTTGCGACACGGACTCAGAAAACACTAATTTATTCATAAATAATTCAAATATCTCATTATTTCCCCCTGACACATTCAAGGTAATTACTTTTACTGGGGCTTTGCGGCACGCTTTAGCCTATTGCATGCGTTTTTTTGCTGTCATGTGCAAGGTTATGTTTGCAGATTCTGTACTGCACATGACCAATTGACTCACTGTTTGCCGTGGTAATCAAATCAAGACTCTTCCAAAATACAGCTTTTCCGAAGCATTGGGAACTTTTAGTAACTCCCCACGCTCCAACTTCTCCCTGATGCTCTGCATGGTCAACTGTCACCTTTATGCTAATGCGTGTGTATGAGCATTGTATGTGCGTAGGCGATGTATAATATTTATAATGTAATCAATATAACAATATTTCATACAGTAGCCTATGTGTGCTCTGTGCATATATGGCACAATAAAAGGAGAAGCTAAGGGTGTTTTCACACCTGGCCTGTTGTTTCGGAACCTGGTGCGTTTCCCCCCTTAGCACGGTTCGTTTGGGCATATGTGAACACTGTAATCGCACTCCGATCCGCGCCAAAACAATCGGTCCGAGATCGCCTGAACGAGGTGGTCTCGGCTCGATTGAAAACGAACTCTGGAGCGGTTCGGTTGTAGTGAGAATGCAATCCGATCCAACGGACCAACGAACCAGGCTATATCACAATTTATGATGGGTAATTATGTAAGTTCCGTGAAAAGCATTAGCTTTGTTGTTTTGCTAATACCTCAAAATGAACCTGTGAGTGTCTGTGGGAGAGCACGTCTTTGCCATTCAAAAATTAAAGCGCACTTTTTTATTTTATAATGCCGTCTTATTGCTCTTCTTTGTAGTAGGTGCATTTTAAAAATGTTTTACCAATCAATCCTGGACTCCTGCTCAAAATGATACATTATTATAACGACAGCTACAAAAAACCCAACAATAAGCCTGCAAAGCTGTTGTCGTTCCATCCTGACGGATGACAGTCGTGACAGCTCAGTGGAATCCCGGAAAATAAACCGTGGAACTTTGACCAATGAGAGAACAGTTTACTCGCGCGTGACTTGTATTAACAAATTTGGTCCGTTTAGAAACTTTGCCTTGTGAAAGCGAACCGCACCAACAATAAAAAGCAACATTGTTCCGAAAACAGGGATTAAAATTATTACAAAGCAATCGATCTACAGGTGTGAAAACACCCTAAATGAGCCCGAGCCCGTTCTGTAAAAAAAAATGGCCCGAGCCCGGCCCGAATGGGCCCCGTTGGGACCCGACGGGCTTGCAGACCTCTATTGCAAAGTAGCTTATAGTCAGTTGAATGTCTGTTGGGGAATCATCAAAATAAGTTAGGGTTGGTAGAATAAGTTGACGAACTTGCAAAGTAGCTTATAGTCAGTTGAATGTCTGTTGGGGAACCATCAGAATAAAGTGTTAACAGATATTTATCAGACATACTACTAATACTCCAATGACTGCTAGTTGCAAAGTTACTTGTCAACAGTTGTCTAAAGCAGAGGTTCTCAACCTTTTGGAACTAAAGCCCCCCCCCAAGCCTCCCCTATCATGTGGCACGCCCCCCCCCCCTTTATAAAAAAGT